AACCCGCGGGAGCCCGTGAGAAACGTTTGTCGCGCCAATGAACAGGCCTACACAGATCCTTCAACGAAGCACAGTTTATTTGCACTCCTGCAAGAATGGGTGACCCAAACAAGCAGGCACACCCACAGGCAGGTGAATAACGGTTTATATTCCCTATTCCCCACGCAAAATTCCCTCCCCTTTCTCCCCACTAGCTGGGCACTCCAGGGTTCACAGCCCATCCGACGCTTCTAATTACCCTGTAAGTTTCCAGCCCCTGTTTGCACATTCCATTCTAGCAGTTTACTTTTTACCTTTTAAGGTAAAATGTTGACCTTTCTTGCCCCCTGGGCTGCCTTCCCAATTAACAAACCTACTGGTGTCATCCTGCCCTGAGCAGCAACACAGCAGTGGCTTTGTTGGGTCTGGTCTTGGGCCATAAATCCTGCTCCATGTTCAGATCCCCAGATGGAGCCCAACTCACTCCCTCAGTTTCTTGGGCCGCAAACCACTCCTGGTGTCCTTAGAATGTGCAGATATCTCACTTATCTCAAACAAACCATATATTTCTAACACTAGGATATAAACCAAACCCGACACTATGTTTCTAACACTAGAATGCAAAATCAACACAACATTTCATTTCTAACACCCCCTTTCCTCCCTCGCCCCCAATCCCCACACATTCCCACCCTCCGGCAGCCGCCCCCCTTCCAGGCCTCCCCGTGGAGGAGCGGTCGGTGCTTTCCCTCTGCGCCCTGAGCCGCAGGCGACAGGGCCTGACGGTGGCACCTGGGCTGCTGTGTGACATCCTGGGCTGGTGTGTGACATCCTGGGCTGGTGTGTGACATGTTGGGCGCCCCGGGAGGGCACGGACCCAGCCCAACGGGTTCCCAACGGGCTCACGGTTCGGGCTGACACAAAACACTTTTATGCTGATCCTGTAGGAGTGAAGGCAGATGAGGCACCGTTTTCTTCAAGGACAAGCACAGTAAGAATCCTGCCCTGACCTCCCCGGCTGCCACAGGTGGGCACAGGCCTTGGCCCTCATCCTGTTTCCTCCCCGTGTGCTTGCGCAGGGATGGTCAGTGTGAAGTAGAACAGGAGGGCACTAACTGGCAATTTTGTCCCCATCCTGACCATGGGCAATGTGACGGTAGAAATATTTGCTGCTCTGAGTGTTAATTATTAGTATCACTATATTTGCAAGGCTTACCGGTATGTTTTGAAACAAATGACCACTGCGTCTTATTTGTACTGGTTGAGATCATTAGTAACCAAATAAATTAATTTGTAAATGGTATGTTCCAAACGGCCAGTTATTTATGTTGAGTTTAGTACACTATATTTACATCCAAAATCTCTTGAGAAGCAAGCGTGTGTAATAACATCCAACTATAGTTTATGTTTTTTTCATTAAGGTGGATTTGTTTGCTTGTTTTACAGGACAACACACTATTCTAATAGGCTTTTATTTTACTGGACCTCCTATTGCCTCTCCAATGAAGAGTGAAATGACAGATGTTAAGCCATAGAAAACAGTTCAAACACCATACTGTTAGTTTTAGTTTTTAGTGAAGTTCTTTCACAGGATTCCAGCTCCATGCATGGAATACTGAATTTCCAGCTTCACTTTGCACAGACAAAAAACTTACTTTTACAAGTGTCTTTACTATTGTGCATTTGGTCCTACCTAGTTGATCCTGGAAAGAAAGTTTTACATTCCATTTAAAGTATTTTCAGGATTGGACACTGCTATATTCAATCTTAACATTTAAAATACGTGTGAACACTTTCTAAAACAGTTTCACCTCCGACACAGGGTCATCTTTACTGAGCTTGGTGGCAGGTTGCTCAATTACAGCAGAAACAAACTTTGCCCTTAAAATTTGAAAGTAATGTTACCATTTAACATTCTTAAAATACCTCACATGCTGAAAGACCTCCTTAAGCAAATACATCCAGGCAGCCACTGCAGTGTAGCCATCTCTGGGCTAGAAAGTGACAGCCAGATGGAAAGAGCATCGTGGATGACACAGCAGAACAGGGTATTTTTTACCAAGTATTTCAGGGCTACTCTTACACCTTGTGCACTGGAAATTTTCACTGGTGATGCAAAAAGAAGGAGATAATACAACAGCATGTTCTGGATATGAAAATCAGCCAAATCACTTTCCTTAGTATTAGGAAGTGTACTGGCACATTTATTTCAGAGAAGCCCCTGAGCCCTGCAGCATGGGTGATGATCTGAATTCTTTAAAGCTGATAGAGTTTGTAACTGAGGCTTATTTCAATATGACCTCTGCTGAAATTACTTCTGCATCTATACTCCCCTGCCTCTCCTCTTCCCTCTTCCCCTTTGACAATGGAAAATTTGCAGCTGCAACTCTGAAGCCTCCTTGCTGTGGTCAGGGAGAGGACACAAGCCCTTTTATGCAGGAGGTAGCTGTGACAGTGCCCATGCAACATTATACATTACCTGACAGCTTTGTGATTTTCCCTGGCACTAATTTGCCAGCTCCCCGTCCCTTCTCCCTTCTCCCTCGTCCCTTCCCCCTCTCCCAAATATTTCTCCAGCCCTGTCTCATTGGTGCACTACTCTCCTTTGCCTTTTTTGGACTGCCACCCTGTCAATCTAATGCAATAAGGCCAGGGGCAGGTGCAAACCCCTTGCTATGGCTCTTCTTACTAACCAATCCCCTACTGGCCCCTTGTCCGAAAATACCTAAGAGCCAATGGAGTGGGAAAACCTGGGACCCTCGGGAGAGGCCAAAGCTGCTGGATTGCTGGGGGGGGGAGGGGGGGGGGCATCCATTTAGGACCCTGGTTAGCCCAGGAGCTGCCAAACACTTGAATTCCTCTTGGGACTGTGGTGACTTGTGGATAGCAGCCGTGCTCTGCTGATTCTTTTTCTTCGCTTTCAACATGGTGATCAAAGTCTTTGTAGCGACATCTTCAGGGTCTACAGCGGTAGGTATCTCATTTAACATACTCTTCTTTCTTCTGGAATCTGGTTGTTAAATTAGCCTAGAACAGGACAGAAACCAGGACAGCTTGAGTTTGCTTATGAGAAAAAAAAAAACCAATGAATTTCTTCTAGTCTATATTGCGCACCTTGTTCTTAGAAGCAGCTCAAGATGTAGAGAATTCCTGTTAATGCGGGTCTGCTTGCATGCGAGGTTTTACTAAAGGTATAATATTTACAAATAAATTATCTAGTAGTTACTGGATCTTCTACTGTTTGATATATTTTGATATATGTTTGATATATATTCATTGAAGAAGGAAGAAGTGAACATTGTATTTGCACAAAAGGTAAGATAGATTGTTTATGGTAGAAGTTACTGTATTTGTATTTAAAAGAGGCTTTAGGACAATGCTCCTGCAAAATGGAAACTGTCTATGAAAAAGCCTGGAGCAAAAGCAAGCTAAATAAAGCTATGCAGAAAAAATACTCTTCCTCACCCCCCTCCCTTTCTGTACGTTTTTGAGGATTTTGTTTGGTTGGTTGGTTTTGGTGAGTATTTTTTTGTTGTGTGGGGTTTTTTGTTTGTTTGTTGGTTTGTTTTTTCTTGTGGTATGTTTTTTGGTATGTGTGGCTCTTGAGTTGCTATACTGATGATTTTTAGTATTGAGATCTACTGCTGTAGCTGTCAGCATACGGTAACAGTTGAAAACAAGGGCATGAGAATAGTAGGGAGGTTGGAAGTCTGTGGGAGGTGGGAACCGGGGAAAGGACTGTTTCCTTTTATATCCAGTTCCAGATGAGCTCAGATTGCAGCTTTCCTTTGGCAGTCACTCATTCCCAGTGACATGGCTAAACAAACTGGCTGGTGCTTGCACATAGCTGTAACTACATCTCTATCTCTCTGACACCAGCTCCATTTCTTTAAGAAGCTTCCAGAGTTGAAAAGCTCCAAAACCCACCCCCTGTTCAAAGGGCCGTCTCTAGAAAATGAACCAGGGAACATTGACTAACATTCAAAGAGGAATACAGCTGAGGAAATTTGCAGTTCTCTCATGAGCTTGTTTCACCAGCCTGTCACTAAGCCTGACATTCTAAATTTGCTGTTGACGCTGTACCATTCCTTTTTTAATAAGAAACCACAGATGCAAGGGAGAAGAAGAAGGAGTTGGAAACTTCAGTTTCATAATTTGTAATCTAGCAGTTACTGCTCAAGCAGCTTTATAAATTGCCATGTACCATGCACTGGCAGTCTTTTCTCCCCTGTTTGGTCTCCTGTTTTGAGCTCTCTTGGTTGACCAAGGCAGAGTTATCCCTACCTGCCTTGACAGTCATCCTTTCTCTGGGAAAAGTTGTGACCATGACTGAAATCCCAGTGCAGACATTCTGTGTGTGTTGGGGCCATTATCATCTTGTGCACCTCAAGAACGAACCTTTCCCACTTCAGCCATAGGATTGGGGCTGTAGGTCAGCAAGGCTTCGTTTGCAGCTGCTTTGATTAAGCGCTGACATTCAGAGACCACTTACGCAATTAAAGCTAAGCCTGTCACATATTTAGCACTAGCTGAACCAAGATCTTTCCACTAGTATACACATTCCTTGTATCTCCTCCCAGCTAACAGCTATAACTAACTCCTTTCCTCTTGGACTGCAGTCAAGGGATGTGCGTGCTGCACTGAACACCAAGCAACAAGCAAGCTTTGTCCAGACATTTTGAGCTGAAAAGCATTGCTACTGTGATTTGTTACTGATAAGAAAGATACAAATGCCAGGGAATGGTAACAGGTTTTAAGCTTAGGATCGTAGAATCGTAAAATTGTTTTGACTGGTAAAGGCCTTTCAGATCATCAACCATTAACCTATCAAACTGCCAAATTCATCATTAAACCATGCCCCTAAGCACCACACTTACATATCTTTTAAATACCTCCAGGGATGGTGACTCAACTGCTTTCCTGGGCAGCCTGTTCCAGTGCCTGACAACCTCTTCAGTGAAGACTTTTTTCCTAATTTCTAATCTAAACCTCCCCCATCACAATTTGAGGCCATTTCCTCTTGTTCTATTGCTTGCTACTGGGAGAAGAGACCAACACCCACTCCTCTAGAACCTCCTTTCAGCCTCCTTTTCTCCAGGCTAAACAGCCCCAGTTCCCTATGATGCTCCTCATAAGACTTGTGCTCCAGACCCTTCACCAGCTTTGGTGCCCTTCTTTGAATTTGCTTCAGCATCTCGATGTTCTTCTTGTAGTGAGGATCCTAAAACTGAACATAATACTTGAGGTGCAGCCTCTCAACTGCTTTCCTGGGCAGCCTGTTCCAGTGCCTGACAACCTCTTCAGTGAAGACTTTTTTCCTAATTTCTAATCTAAACCTCCCCCATCACAATTTGAGGCCATTTCCTCTTGTTCTATTGCTTGCTACTGGGAGAAGAGACCAACACCCACTCCTCTAGAACCTCCTTTCAGCCTCCTTTTCTCCAGGCTAAACAGCCCCAGTTCCCTATGATGCTCCTCATAAGACTTGTGCTCCAGACCCTTCACCAGCTTTGGTGCCCTTCTTTGAATTTGCTTCAGCATCTCGATGTTCTTCTTGTAGTGAGGATCCTAAAACCGAACACAATACTTGAGGTGCAGCCTCACCAGTGCTGAGTACAGGGGGACAATCACTGCCCTACTCCTGCTGGCCACAGTATTTCTGATACAAGCCAGGATGCTGTTGGCTTTCTTGGCCACCTGGGCACACTGCTGGCTCATGTTCAACCAGCTGTCGACCAACACTCTTAGGTCCTTTTCCTCTGGACAGCTTTTCCGCCACTCTTCCCCAAGCTTGTAGCATTGCATGGGGTTGTTGTGACCCAAATGCAGGACCCAACACTTGGCCATGTTAAACCTTCATATGGTTGGCCTCAGATCATTGATCCAGCCTGTCCAGGCCCTGCTGTAGAGCCTTCCTACCCTTAGGCAGATCAACACACCTGCCTGACTTGGAGTCATCTGCAGACTCACTGAGGGTGCACTCGATCCCCTCGTCCAGATCAGTGGTAAAGATATTAAAGAGAATGACCCCGGTACTGAGCCCTGGGGAACACCATGATTGACCAGGCACCGATGTGGCACCAGCTTATTAATGCCAGTCTCCACTGTATGTTAGCAGCCCACAAAAGCTCTCAGTGAGATCCCAGACACATATTGGAAGGAAGATTATGGCTTCTTCTCAGGGCAACATGCCTCTCTGTTTCCTCCTTTCTGGTGTGTTGGGCCTATGTACAGCTGTAGCAATCTCAGCAGGCAGCATGTGTTCAGATTACTGATACATAATTGCAATGCCAAGTAGACACAATGTTCAGCTGGAGTAGTTTTCCACATTTTGTGATTTAAATGGATGGAAGATATCCTTTCAGTGGACCTTTAATGAGTTTTGGTATATATAAAATAAAACTCACTCATGCAAGGAGCCAGCACAAAACACAACATAACACTAAAATCCTATTAAAAACAAATTTTGTATCAGCCTTGTACAGTTTTTCCTGAGAAGAATGAATTTAATCCTTAAAGAGCCTAAATTGGAAGTCTAAATTGTCTTAGTAGCAGTGGTGCTCCCTTCAATGTGGCTGATCTCCACCAAGTGCATCTAGTTAATTTTGCATTTCAAAATAAGATGAACCCTGCCTTGTCTGATGTAGATCAGCAGATCATTGGTAAGAAATGCAAAACAGTGATATTCTATTTACTACACAGTCACACTATACTAATTGCAACTGGTTTTCATGTTAATAAATACTTTTTTTAAGTTAATGCAGTGAACCCAGTAACAGTCTGGTGCTCTGGATCTGGTGCTTGCACAATATAATTCACTGTGGCTCTAGAGTAAATCTGCAACCTGAATTTTTCCCCTGAGTCATTTGGAAATGTATTTTAAATAATTTCAGCTTTATTTTCTTTCTGCTTCAAACTTACTTCATATGAAACTACTCATTAAGTTAAGCAGCACTGGAGACATTTATAGCAATAAAAAGTACTAAATTTCTGTTTTGAGGCAAGAAATAATAATTAAAAAAATATCTTGATACTAACCACAGAGGTGTTTAGAAATGAGTAATATCCTGCAAGATTCTAAGGTATCATGAAGCATGGGAGGAAAAGAGTTCATCTCCTACACAGATGAAGTCTTCCAAAGTCTTGCCTGCTGCTGTGCATGGTTAGGGCACCTCCAAAATCCTTTTATTCCCAGTGCTTTTGGTGACATTTTATGAACTTTCCCACATTCAAATCTGTAGGTCTCAGAAAGACTGAGGAAAATGTGGACTATTTGTATTATGTCCTCTGAAACACAAGGTAGGGGTTTATCATCTAAGTCTGTGAATTTATCCATATATAAGCCTGAATACAAATTTCAAGGCAATTTCAAGGCAAATCAGAGGTTAGAGTGTTATATAGAAGCATAATTATCAGGAATAGGTTATCCATATAGTACTAGAACCAAAAGCTGCAACAACTCTTCCTACTGACATTAGCATTCCTCTCGCTGTAAGCTGTCGACTTCATACCATTTGCTTCTGCCACAGGCAACTGGTCAACATGATATGAGGATATAAATGATAATATTTAATTTTGTATCAGGTTAAATTAATATTATCTATAGTTTTTACATGCTATCTAGGTAATAATTATTTAAATATGATGATGAAGATGATTATTATTATTATTTTAAAGGAGTAGTAGCTAGAGAAGGTGGAACTTAAGCTTTGTTAAAAGAGAAAATTACATTAATGAAATTAACATCCTGCTCACCACCACTTTCCAAGGAATCTATGCCCAAGTAATCTGAGTTCTTGCTATGCCATTGGACACAAGTGAGGGCATAAACAAGCTCCTGCAGTCTCATTCATTCTGGGAAAGGCTTTGCCTGTCTGCTGTGTTGCTACATTCTGCAAGTTTTCCCTCTCTGAGTGCTGTTTGCTGGAAAAAATATTTTGGTTGCCCAGGTACCTAGTGCCAATGACAACAGTGGCTTGCTTTATGGTTTTGTGCTTAGTGTGTGGCCCAAGTCCTTTCTTCTGCCTAAACTCTAATAATTGTAAGCCTTAAGACAGCCTACAACTTCTGCATAGTTTATTATTGCTATCATCACGAGAAACACCTTGCCTTTTCCTTATATAGGCATAATTGCATCTAATTATTTTCCCTTAGCATTCATTTTTCACACAACGCTCCCCTAATTTTTCCTTCCAGACTTGGTGCTATCTGAGCCTCCTGTGTATTATGAACCTCAAGTTGAAGAAAAAGTTTTTACCTGGGTTTAATTCTAAAAGTTATAGCTACAGCCATAAACAACAGAACACAGAATGTGTAGCTCAGTTTCCATTATCTCCTCATAGGCACTATCTGTCTGGGACAGTATCTATTCCAGGAGCCATATCTACTTCAGTGCCTGTGTCCAAAGAGACAAGCTGATGCTGAAATTGCAGCTGACAGCCCTTGAGTGCACTGGCTTTCAGAGCATATGGTGAAGTGCTTAGTACTGGCTCATGCAAATTTTATTAACCATTTATACAAACATTATTCTGCCACTTCCTCCAATGAAGTGTCCCACAACTGTCCTTTCTGCCAACTGAATGCATTCTGCAAATAACTGTAGCAAAATAGCCATTAAGAAAATGACCCCTGTTAAGAAAGTGAGAATAAGAATATAAATAAACACCTTTGAGATCTGTCAACTGCATGTTTTTTGAACACTTCGGATTAGTGTTTCCATTAAAAGTGATGTGTTTGTTTTGTTGTGGTATTTTTTGTTGTTGTTTTGGGTTTTTTTAGCTGACCATAAACTTCTATTGTTGTCATAAAACTGTACAGGATTTCAGGTTTGTAATTTTTTATAAGCAAGCATAGATGTACAGATAGATACTTCCTTATTTGAACAAGAAAAATACATTTTATCTTTAATCATGAAAATTCATGCTTTCAATATAATAGGTTATCACACTATTTCAGCTTTTCAGGTTTATTAGATTATAGAAATACATAATCCAGGAATTAATTCTTGTCTCATTGCTTGTCTCAGACTCATTTACACTAGCTTGGTGTCACATAAAATTCAGTTGTTCAGATGTCTGATTCGTGGAAGATGTGGCTTCAAATCATATGATGACTTGTATGTAAAAATGACCTTGATACCTGATTCTAGTTACTGTCTGTATAGGACACTAACTTGCTGCATGGAGTAGCCTACCTGGGAGTAGAAGAAAGTCATGTCTGGAACATAATTGTTCTAGCAACTAATTTAGTTGACTGTAACTAAAGAGCAACAAGAGAGAATTTATATAGATCAGTCCAAACGGTTCTTGCTTCAAATGCTGCAGTACTTGTAGGGCTCAAGTTTGGCCTTGCAGCTGTTACACAGAGTAGACATGTACAAAATGGGGAAGTTCTATAATGTTGCTTATCGTAGCATTCCTTTAGTAGATAATTATAGTAAGTATTATTTCTTCAAAGTAAGGGGAGAAGTTAGAAGGTTGATGCATGCATCCTTTGTGTATGCAGTACTAACATCAAAGGGAATTAGGGTGATGACTGAGTTTATCTGGCACAGAAGCTGTGTGTAACAGGCTTTGTTTGTGTGTGATATATTCTTGGTCCAACTGGAACATCGTTCTGTTGTGTGGGAAATAACTAAGCACAGCAATTAAGCTGTACTGGGTCTTCATTGAGCTTTCATTCTTATTTAGTTATGCTTATAATTAAAAAACAGGAACAGAGAGAAATGTGTGGCTCATGGAAAGCTAAATATCATATGTAATGAGTAGGAAGCAGGAGACTGTTACATGCTGGGAAGAATATGGACATTCTCAGACCTGTGCTGTCTTTAGGCAGGATTAATTTAGGTATCAGTACTCCACACTCACAGGTCTGGGAACAGAGCAGGAGCCTTCCTGCTG